CCGGCCCCCGCTTGGTGACGAGCCACAAGTCTGTTATCACCTCCAGCTTGGCTTTAAAAATAATCAAATTTCCATTTCTCCTCTGTGTTCCTCTGCTGACCGATTCCAGATGGGGGACTCCAGCGCTCGATAAATAAAGGAAGAGGAACAGAGGCGTGTCATTGCTTACAGATACGGGGGCCAGTCTTAATTGCTTGTGGTCAGGCCTGACTGTTGTGTTTTAAACTGATTGCTAAGGGCCTTTCTTTTCTAATAAGAGCGGGCAGCTGAATACAAACGCTCATTATCCCTAAATGAAGACACCTAATTATTTAGGGCTCATAATTAAACTGTGGCTTTTTTAATATTTAGCCCTGCAACACTACTTTTGAAATAATGATAAATGCATGCAACTATTCTGTCAGTGCAGTGTGAAAACGTTTAGACACAAACACACACACACAAAGGAATGCAACGATCAGCTGACAGAAGCAGCAAAAGCGCCAAGACAACATCTGGGGAATGTACCTGTGTGTGTGTGTCTGTGTGTGACTATTTGCATGCATGTGTGTGTGAGTTGTTGTTATCTAACCTTTATAAGACAAACACTCCTCCTCCGCTGTGATTCACAAGAGATTACTCCATCAACAGAAAAATAAATGGCAATTTTGACACATTTTTCTAAAATGCCAACAATTTATTTTCAAAATGAAAACATTTGCTGCTTTCCTGCGGATTAGATAATAACAAATGAAACATCTTTGGGGTCAGAGAAAACCATTTTTAGGGTAACTTTCTTTCTGACATTTCATACAACAAATTATCATATACAGCCCTGCTTATAACAAACATAGAGATATGCATCCTTCTACAGTAGATATAAAGAAATCGTTTCTATAAATAATTACATTTTGACAGCACATGTCAGACAAATGATCCATCTCACTGCAAACTAAGTTCAATAGAGGGCGCCAAACTCCATAACTAGATTTTCAAGCCATTAACACTCGTATCAGTCTTGTTTCCCGGTGTTTTCCACAGACTGGGAGGAGAACATATGCTTCCAGTGGCAAAAAAAGGACCAAATTATCCTGCAGAAGACTGTGCTTGCTGGCTGACTTTACCACTTTTGCACAATCAGGTTCCTTTTTTTTTGTGTGTAATAAATACTGAACGTTGGTTTGGTGTATCACGCCGTTCATTTTCCATCTACAACACTCTCTCACTGCATTATCCTCACAAAACACAATTCAGATTGTGGGAATATTCAGGTGATTTATCCCGCCTCAATCATCAAGCAGCATTGTGCCCCCTCCCCCACCACGAGGCTTATCTTTACGGGAAGAGGAGAGTTCTCTACGTCTCCTCCAGTTCCTCTCCAACCTTTTTTACAGCATTCCTTCATACCTCCTCGACCTTTTTTGCAGGGGCGAAGGCCTGGAGTCGCCATTTCGGAGACGTCTACGTCCTCAAACACGGCAGACGAGAGGTCGGCTGACCTTTAAGCTGGATTGAGAAGCCTTGTTTAAAAGGTGGCAGCACATTTCAAACTGATGTTCCAAATAACCGCGAGGGGAAGTAGCATGCGGATGAGTTTCAAATTGGCAACCGCAGTGTTTGCTTAGTGCTCCTCTGACCTTTGACATACACGTACGTACACGCACATAATTGCTTCGACACCTCCCTCCCTCTGTCCAACCTCTCCACCCATCTCATTGACAGATTTTCCCTCTCCTACAGCTCCGGGAACCACAAGTCACCCGATGTCTGGCCACAATTTTCATTTCAGGCAAAAATTGGAGCGGGAAGAGAATGATTTTCCTATTAGCTTTGAGTTCTGTCAAAACAGAGTATCTCGTGTCGGTGGACGGCATTTAATAGCACTTCAGAACTAAGAGTCATTTCAGATTTTTACATACTTTTACAGAAGTTGTTTATACGTTTAGAGAGAAGAAAGCGATGGGAAACACGGATGGGAAGAAAGAACTTTTGATTTACTCCACTTTGTTCCACTATCTTTTACGGCAGGAAGGAAACACTTGCGATGCTTTTCAGACTTTTTCCAAACTTCATCCAAGTTTTCACCTGAACTTTATGTGGTTGTGTCACATTTCTTTCTTGCTCTCGCTCATATTTGCACTGGCTCTCAGAGGGACACTCCACGAGTGAATGATTATTTTCATAGGCAATAACAACGTTTGGCCAATAATCAGATCTGATCACTTGTACTATGCTTAGACCACAGACTCCAGTGGGGAATTCTGCAGTTTACAGCTGCATAAATACATTTTATGTACTGTGTAAATCGTAAAAAGAACAGCCCATACTGTGCAAGAGGCCACATGTAGTCTTCTGTTTCACACAGTGGTGGAAAGAAACCACGTAGATTCACTCACTGTACATGAATACAAATTTGTATAGTATTGTACTTTTACTCCATGACAGTTTTACTGCTTACTAGTTACATTTCATATGAAGATCTTACATAAAAAAAGGAGCTAATTTTAGAGAAAAGTCCAAATAATAAATAGAAATTTGTGTTGTAGCTCATTGTTTTTACTTCTTTCACATCGCGGTAATTATCTCACGACCCCTCAGATGAATGGTGACCCTTTGGAGGGGCCTTGGCCTTTAGGCTGGGAACCACTGGACCATACTAGCTAATTGTATTTAAAGTAGTTTAAACTAGCTTTAACTCGACCAGCTGCAACAGTAAAATGCTGCTGACCCGGGATTATTAAATTCTTGCTACAACATGCAAGCATCATTTGACGAGAGTCTCGGGAAGCTTGATGTGTTATACAGTCACACCGTAAAATATGCCACTCAGAGAAAAAATATGATCCTCCCTTTTCCTACTGTCCAGATGTTTTTGCAGTGGAGTATTTACGAGGGATAATAAGAGCTACGACTCCGTCTACTTGGGAGTTTAGATAAGAGATACTTTGCAGTAAATCTGCAAAAATGTAAAGCTTTCATTCCAGAGTGAACCATACCACATGGATCACTACAATGTGAGAGACACCCCGCTTGCGTAAAACATGGATATGATTAACAATGCAAATTGCAGTTTAAGAGGGATTTCTACGTCGTATTTTGAGACGTGTCTAAGGCTGCAGTGCTCTGCACGGTAGCAGGAGAATGTTTGGACACATGGCCTCAAGTCACAGAGGCTGCAGCTGAGGGATCAAGAGACACATTCCCTCCGAGCCACATAAACACTTCCTGTTCACGAGGTGAGAGCTGCGAGGGAGTCATTAACTGAGTGACAAATACATAAAGTCACAAAACTGCTGACAGAGGCATCTGATTCACTCCCTGCACAGATAACAAACCTGACCGTTTCTTCCTGCTCTCATATCATACACTAAATATGAAGAAACAGCACAAGACAGTTAGCTTAGCTTAGCATAAATACTGGAAACAAGGGGAAACAGCTAGCCTGGCTCTGTCCAAAGGTAACAGGAGCCACCTACCAGCACCTCTAAAGCTCACATGTTAATTAAGTTCTTCTCTTTGGACCTGCTTCGAAGACTCCTTCCTGACGCAAACCTCTTCAGGTCACTTCAACCTGCTAATTTGGTGATTTGAGCTGCGCTTCATGAAAAGTAAATGCACACAAATTCAGTTTCTGTAAACCCAGATCATAACCTGAAGACCCCTAACCATTAACTTGTTCTCCCCTTTCTAACATGGAGGAAAGAAGCGTGCAGAAAAACAAAACAAACACCCCCAAAAATGCATGCATGCATCTTGGTTGGATTGGACATGATATCAATGCACATACCCTTACCCTCTTCCAGAACAGTCAGACCGAAACTAAATGCGCTGCCCTAAATTGCAACGCTCTAGATTTTCTTGATTAGAGCGTTTGTGACCTCCTCACATCTGCAGATCGGTGTTCGGTGTGCTTCCACGGTGCTGCCTGCTACCACATTCTGCTGATGCCAACACACAGTCCTTTCTGAGCACCGAGGATTACACTTACGGTAATCAGCGACTTAATTGTGCAACCTCAACTATGTCAGCTTACCCACATTTTCCCCTAATTAAGAGTTTTCTCCCTAAGAGAGGAAAAACATGACGACCTTAAATGGCAATAAGGAGCTGAAAGTTAAAAACACGGAACAAAGTTTCTCTCAGTTCCATAAAAACTGACCTTTGTGGTAAATCTAAACTTTTTATTGAAACACTTAGCTTACTATTACTATTAGCTATAGAGGCACATTTCCACTTCTTCTACTCGGCACTAAAACAGATGCTCTCACGAGCTACGTTTGCATGCAAGTTATAGCAGCGATTAGAACGCATTTCCGCCCACCTGCAGTAGAAAACAGACACAACAGCCTCACCATGGACATGTTCAACATTGTGATAAATCCACATCAGGTGTGAAGCAGGGATTCCCAACTGTTTTCTGGCAGGTGCACACACTCAGATGTTCCGTAATCAAGTTATGGAGAGGATATAGAGGCATAACATCTGGCTGCACTGGAGCTTCTGGTCAGTTTGAATGGGCGGAAGTTTGTCATTTTGAACTCGCATGTTATCAAAGCAATTCTATTCAATCTATTTTCAGCAGGGGACACCAAAGACTAAAAAACAAGAAAGATTTCCTGAACTCCAAACGTTCCCTCTCTGACTCATTTCTCTGAGCCATTGTGCTGCCAAAAAGCTTTGCCTTTAATCCTGTTTTCTTTTATTTATGTGGGATAGTTAGAACTACAATAACCGTAACACTGAATCCTTTTCTCCCTTAAACATTGGATGAAAAAGTGCCAACTCTTCCCCCTCCGTGTTGAAAGACGTACAACTGAAATCTCCAAAATGTCAAGACATTCCATTAACTGGTGCTAAATCCTGTCAAGATGCTGCAGCGTGCATTTATTTTAACAAGCTTAAGCCCGAGTTATTCTTCCCAGGTGTATCTGTTGGATGTTTCTTTGCATTTGGAAAACTCAGACGTTATCAGCAGAGACTTCTGTCAGCAGAGGCTTTGCAGCAGTGAGCTTTGTAAAGCAGGATGTCTTATGAAATGTATTTCTGCTTTGCCTTTTTATCTCTCGCATTTTTTTTCCTCACGCAACCCCCAAAAGTTATTTGTGTGTCGTTCCAAGAGTTCAAACCAGACATGATTTTACAGTTCTTTCCAAAGAGAAATCGGTTGAATGATCCAGTCAAGTCGTTGCAATCGGATAACCATGCAAGAAAAACACATTCAAAATCAAACCATGAGCTAACGAGTGCTCACTGGATGTTGCTGCTGCACCAAAAAACCTAAACACGGCGGCCCCCGCCAACCAAAACATTATCAAATCCTGCTGTGCCAGAGGTGACGCATCACTCACCTTTGTGTGTGCTGCTGCAGGCTGGAAGTATCAGAAAGCTTTGAGGGGTTTGGGACAGACGCTGAACAGCAGCTCTGGTGAGGGCTTGGCTTTTATCTGCAGGTGGGTGGAGCTGCACGAGCTGAGAGAGGAGAAGCTCTGGATCTGTGCATGAGAAGGAGGGAGGAAAACAGAAAGAACAGAGGATTTGTGTGAGAGAGAAACCACTACTGGAACTGCGTGTTTGCAGCATTAGACGTTATTAAAGACAGGAGCGAACCGAGGCCCAATCAGCTGCACGACTGTATCTCACAAAGAGGAGGATTCTCGTTTGACTTGGACCTCTCGCCGCATTCTTTGCATGCAGAAAGATTTCAGGGCAGGGTCTCACTTTGGTGAGCCAAATGGCTGAGGTATAAATGGCTATCTGGGGTTTAAGAGACGACCACAGTACACACACAGCAGTTAATACAACCATCTAACCACAAGGTCTATTTAGAAGCTGTTGTTGAGCTTTTTATTGTGTCTTCCTCAGGAGTTTTCCCAGCATGTTTAAATGTCCACTTAAAGGGCTATAAAGAGAGAATATGTCTTGTTTTTTCTCACATACATTCGTTATTAGAAAATTATACCTTTCTCTCGATCTCTCTCCCTTTATTTGAGAGCTAAAAAAAAGGTAAGAATGAGACAAATCCCTAAACAAAGGGTTTACAGCTGCTCTACGACGTTAAAGGGTAAAGTCAGAGTGCTGACATGCAGGTATAACGTTCACCATGTTAGCGTGCCAGCATGCTAACAAGCTACAGCTGAGGCTAATGGGAATGTCAGGTATTTTGGTGAACTTGGTGACCTGACAACTGAAACATTTGAGCTGTCGGTGGCGCAAGAGCAACATTCAGGGGATCACCAAAGTGATTAGGATTGATCCTTTTTGGGCTACATGAATATCTGTAAACAATTTCATGGAAATCGACACAATTTTTAGAGGATTTGGTTTGCACATATATGTAGCTCATGCATGTGACTTATCCCAGACAGATGAAATGCCTTTTCATTTTACAAAGTCCAGAGCAGCAAACTGTCTTCCCAACAGAACAACAAGCGGTCGGCTGAGTGGAAACACTGACCTCATACCTGTCTGCATGCAGACTTCCTGTTCATGTAGTTATTAACCTGCGACTTAGATCTCCAGGCCAAGTTGCCTGAGCGCACAAAACCCTGGCAATGACTCTTATTACTCCCTTTCCTGTTCCTCAATCAGCCTTCTTTCATCTTTGTGTTGGCAGTGGTGCTAACAGGTGGATGCTTTGTTACAGTTTGTTTGTGTTTAATGTGTCCCGATTCTGTCAAAAGTGGGACGTTTACATTATTGTCTGATGTTTCGGTCTTTATAAAAATGGCTCTATCCATGAGCATCACACAGACCTTTTTCCTAACGTTGCAGCAGTTATGTGATCGACAGATATGTGATTAATCCAGTCATCATGAACATAATTTGTTGGTGAGCATGGTTTTCATCTGCCATTTGGCAAAAGAAATAAGTTAATGCGCCAAAACCAAAAAAAAAAACACTGAAATGAAGTGAAGTGGACATTGGGAAAAAAGAAAATCTCTGAAAGCGCTCTCTTTATTTTTTTTCTCTGGCACCTCTCTCTGACATGATCGTTGGAGGGTGACGGGAACATATTCGGGGGCATTGTGCACGCACTTTATCCTCGATCACCTCACGAGAAGCTGTTTCCTGAAGCTTTGATCTATATTTTGGAGAAAAGCTGTCCAATACAAGGCCCAAACACCACATTTTAAACCTCCACTATGATCTGGAGTTGTTGTATTTAATGGTCAGTTTCTTTTAAATGAGGCATTATAGGAGAAGGGAAGAGAATTCGACAGTGTATCCTGGCTCCAGCTCTGTCACCACATATTTGAGTACCACTCAGATCGCCTGACTTTTTTTCCATTTAGCCGACCCACAGCTGTCGGTTTTGGCAGTCGATGGGCACCGTCTGGTAGACAATCTCATAAAGTCACCTAACGACTCAGAAAAATGCAGACCTTCCACTTCCTCCGGTGCACCTCTTGGTTATTTGGCAGATAAAGGAAATAATTGAGCATTTAGGAGTGAAGAAGGGGAAATAGGATCCACGTTTCATTATAAAGTGGAAAAGTGTGAGAATTCAGACCGGAGCCAATGACCTATTTTACAGGCAGGGCCATTACAATCTTCACATCAGTCAGGTTCTCTACAATGTGACCACTGACTTGGCAAAAGAAAATTGAAGAAGAGGCTTTTTCTCTTATTGCATTATCGTGAGTCGACTAGTCCCAGCTTCTGCAGAGGCCTCTTTTTACTCTTGCAAAATTGAGCAATTACTCTTATTTAGCTGCTTTAAGGCCAAACAATTGCATGCTCTGCTAACTAGCTAACAGAGCGTTACTTTCAAGGCCAAGCAGCATTTCATTGGATGCCATCAGTGTTCAGGCTAATGTCGGCAGCTCTGTCCTGCTCTTCATTGGATTTGGGCAAGTTAACAATCCTCAAATCCCTTGCTCGTTAGTGGCGTGCCCCTTACGGAGCGGGTCGATTGCTTCGTACCCAGACGCCTTTGTTTTGCAACCTAAGTGTATCCAGCATCCAGTGTCAAACGTCAACTGCAGTCAGGCTTTGCAGTGTGTAAAGCCCCCCTCAAGTCCCCAGAGCCCTGATGCTCCGCTCCAGCTCCACAGGGTTTGCTAATTTATTCAACGTTGATATTATTGAACATGTCTTGTGGCCAAATTGCACCCAATTTGACAAAGCACTCCATGGGGTCCCCAGCAAAACACCCACCAAGTGTGAGCTGGATAGGATCAGCGGTTCTCAAGACACAGCATCAAGGATTGCACAAATATAATGTTTTACCGTTACTGTAGCGCCCCCTGCAGGTAGAATTGTATAAGATGCAAAAACACGTGTATACTAAAGAATCCAAAATATGGAAGAATGCGCAGCTATCACACCATAAATATCTGAGAAACTCAACAGTAAAAACGTATCAATACTGCACCTCCTCGTCTATCATACAGGACCCCGACAAGGAGAGATTCATGAGCTCTGTCTGGGTTTACTGTTGCCAGCACTACATTTTTCTAATGTTCATAGAAACAAACCTTCCTACAACTCGTTTTTTACAAATAAAAAGTCTCCCAGCTTCAATGTGTCTACGTGCAGTACTGTGTAAAAGACGAACAGAGCTCTGTCTCATAGTCTGGATCTGTTTTTTGTCTGTTTTTGTAAGATTTTGGTTCAAAAACACTTTACAGACCGACTGTAGCTATGACGTCATTACATGAAACGATGCAAACTAAATACAGAACTGTACATACGTTTCCAGTCACAACATATATACGGTGAACAAAGTAAAGGTTATACATCAGTCAACACTGTCCGCTGTTCTTCCACTGATTCCTGCTGGAACCAATTAATGTGGTGACGACTCTCTCTCTCTCTCTCTCATGACCACCTCTGAATGTTTCTGTCTGGCTGTTAATCCCTCCGACTCAGAGCCTGCTCCAGCTCCAATGTTCCTTCTCCATCTTTGGTGGATGGTTTGAGAGTTTGGCAGCCGGATACAAAAGGTTCTGGAGACAATAGGTTGTCTTCATCCCTTCATTAAAGCCAGCAGGCGGTGTTCAAAGGTCTGCCACGGACGAAGAAAATCATTTAGCCCTCTCACTTTCCCTTTGAGCTCTAGACTCTGTCTTATAGTCATGAATTGAAGTCATGATGCAGCTTAATATGCCAAACGTGTATCTTCTCACATTAACTCAAGAATGTACAGTAAAGAAACCTTTACTCCGATACAAAACCTGTGCCTTTTCGACTTTTTACTACACAAACAAATTTAAAAAAAACAGAGCTGAGAGACAGTGTCACAGCTGTCTCACTGCTCTGACAACATTTCCAAGAACACGCATTTAATTAAATCACATGAAATCTGTTTTTGATGAAGAGTAACCACGCTACACATGTGCTTGTAATACCAAAATGTATTACTATGCTGGCACAGTAACGCAGCACTCTAAAGAAGAAAGAGGTTTGGAGAACGTTGTACCAACTTACTGTTAAGATCCAAAACAACACACACAGACAAAGGCAGATTTGAGAGTTTTCGTCATTCAAACTACCTTGTTGCACCTCCACAAGATGTAGAACACTTTCACAGTAGTTTTTTTTTAGCAGAATCTAAGATGAACTTCTTGAAGAGAATTTGCTATTTGCACACAAATCACATGTGAAACAGTACCACAGGGGCTTAAATCGACAGATGTGTACGGTAAGCTTTGAGAGAAAATAAAGAGCCCTCGCAAACACCGAACCTTTAAGAAATGTTAAATGCTCAGAAGGTCAAATATTATCATTAACATCTCACAGTGAGTAAGCCAGTCAAAGCCTGTGAAAACATGATACATAACAGCGGTCGTGCCACTTACGGTTGGGAAAGGCAACAGAATACCGTTTATTCATTTTGTCACCGTGTGTTTTCCTTTCGGTGAAGTCAGGGCAATTACAGAGCAAACCAAAGCACGCCAGTTCCACGTGATATCACAGGAAAAGGGTCGTTAGACGCTAACCGCCTCCACCAACATTTCCTGAGGTCATTAAGGCCGACGTGAAGGCAGAAACAGCCCGGTTGTACGAGGGCAAATCACCTCTACTCGGTGCTGCAAGCCCCCCCCCTCTGGCTCTGTCTGTCGCCGCACTGGAAACATGTCGACGTGTGGAATGTAGATAGATCCCGGTGTGGATGTTTTCCCAAGTATGATGCCATCGTTTAGGTTTCAGCAGACCTGGAAGAATTAATCATTCCACACCAATTTACTGGCTCAAGTTAATGGTTGAATTAGCTTTTGGTTCTGGGAGAACTGCAGTGTGATTTTACTGCTACACTAACCCTGCAGCGTATCCTCATACATACTTCTTACCTTATCTTTCAAAGAGGGGTTTTTTCTTAATCTT